CCCAGTGCTTCCATTCCCTCACACTGCAACTGGGATGTATATTTTCCAGTGCTCCAACCCCCCTCACACTGCAGCTGGGATGTATATTTTCCAGTGCTCCAACCCCCCTCACACTGCAGCTGGGACATATATTTCCCAGTGCTCCCATCCCCTCACACTGCAACTAGGACAAATGTTTCTCATTGTTATTCAGAATTGCCATGCGTGACGTATGGGAGTAAAATTAGCTGGAAAGTATTTAATGACATCCCACCTAATGTTGATATATGGTTTACCTCAATGTTTTCCACTCAGCCCTTCAGTTACCAACAAGATGCCCAAGTGGAATGTATGACAACTATGTGCCAACCGTGTCTTGATCACTAGAGTGGAGAGTAGTAACCCTAATTACTATGCAAATATGCTTGACTCAGATAGCTTAGAAGATAGTGAAAGTGGATTACTTAAAGAGACAACAAGCTGAACTGGAACACCACACTAAAACATACACCTATGCAAAAACATTTGAAGACTTTGTTAGCATGATAAATCAGTGTGGTCAAATTGAAGATTTAAAAATAATTCGGTAAGGTCAGTAACTGTTACTTAGCTTATTAAAGAGGTGTAGTTAATTTTGCTTATTGAAGTAACAGTAAATTTCTTAAGTTAATCTGTACTTCACAGAATTAAAAACTCAACCTTCATTGGAATGATTTATACTTCTGTTGTAATACCGGTTTGTAACTGATGTTATTTAAAATAACTATACCTTTTGAATTGGTTAGATTGTGCGACTTAATTTCAGAAGGCACTGAAAGGGTTCATATTGAATAAACAACAATTATTTGATTGTTTTCAGTTACAACATAATGACAGAGATATTACAAGCAACAACGATCAATAACCTTAAACGATCCAGAGGAATTGACCAAGGTATTTATCTTGCAGTTCAATGCTGATGAGATTTCGAGCCTAGTGTGGTATATGTTGTTTTTTTTCATTTAAATGTTTCTAAGTGTGGTTATTAATCAGGAGATATTCTATCTGTTGAGCGTTAAAACTATGATTTTATGTGTGATTTATTTATGAAACGTCCTATGTTTTAGGCTTTTAAATATTATTGTTATGCGGGAATTATTTGGTCTGCATCGAGTCTGAGAACAGTCATATTTCAGGAACTTTTCAGTGTGTATTTAGCCTGAGAACAGAAGTTTTCTAGTATATATTGATTATAATAATGGACATATAGGTGTTTGGCCTTTAATTAGAGCCACTATTTTGAAAGTGTTCAGTATGTAATGTGTCAGAGGTGTGGTCATTATTTACAAAACATACTTTGTATGATTTAAGTTTGTATATTATTACAGGAAATATACCATGGCTAGTTGTGGTAACTATATTTGTTATGTACTATGTGTATTGCTGGAAATACTTGATTAGTGCATATATGTGGTCAGTAAAGAGTTAGATGGAAGTGGGATGACACTTCTTATATACTTGTGTACATGGTAACTTCTGAGTGTCATTAACTCTTACTGTGGTCTCTGTCGAATTGACTGAGTTCGTGACCCCAAATTGGCCTTTATAATTTCCATGCTAAATCTTCTAACATGTTTTGTGGATCTTCATGAAATTTCGCTAACTTTCAGCAATCATTAAGAGTCATTTGTAGACAAAAAAATCAGAATTTTTAATGAAGTATTTGCACTGACTATTTTCCCATGAACATGTGGAGTCAAAGTGTTGACTGTTCTGGGCAAAGTGGTTTTCATTGTTAAGATTAAAGGCGGAAGACTTTCGAAACATCGTCCTCTACATATGTAGGTTTCTACAACAGGTAGTTGCTGTCCATTTGAAACTTAGATTCATCAAGATTAAAAATATTTTTCCTTATCTGAAAATTCTCATAACTTATTTACATAATCTATAAACCCTCCCTAGTAAGTTTCAAACATTTTTTTCCCTGTAAAACTTTATATTTTATCTCTTATTTTCTCTACCCTACCTCTACAAGAGGTAGGTCAATTTGGCCAACCTTGTAACCACCAATAAAATTTTGAAATGAATCTAAAATACCCTTTCTAGAATGACTTCAAATTATAACATGAAACTACATTTGTTTATCGTAAATAGCTTCAAACTTTTAATAGTTTACATCTGTTTATATTGCTATCCTTTCTACAAAGATTCATTATGAATACTCTGCCTAAACAATCTATCAAAATGCGTTATTTCCTCTCGTTAGGATGGTGTTAACTTGTTTGTGTACAGCAGTTTTCTTTGACACTTTTCTCAAGTCAATAATTGCTGTAACCACCATAAATCTCATGAAAACACTCTCTTGAGATGAGTATTTACTATTTTTAGTGTTACATCACTAACTGAAAACTTATTTTTAGTGTGATTTTTGATGGGCACTTATTAACGTAGACATGTGCTTCTTATACATGTCATGTGGCAGATACTGCTTGTGTAGTTTTCCTGTTGGCTTGTGAACATAGATCTTCCGTTGCTTTTGTAAACTTAAATCCGTTGCTTTTGTAGACTTAAATCCGTGCCTGTGTACGTTTCCAAGGAAATTTGTGTGTAATGGACTACTGTGTTTATAGGTTGCTTTTGTTGACAAGCTATGTGATTTTCTTCATTACATTGGTGTGCAGCTAGTAACCAATCATGGAGTAGCCAGTTTTTTCCCTGCCAGAATCATGTCCTTACCAGTGTGTTTCCATGTTACCGATATCCCTGTTTTTAAGTGCTAAACATTTTGTGCAGTTCGTGTTTTTGTATATGTGGAATTAAAGAACTTAGTGTAAGAAAGTCTTTAAAGTGATAAGTCTTATTTGCCATATACATTTACAATTCACCAGAGTTCAACTGAGTTTAATAAGAAAGTCGGGACTTTCAACCTGTTTGGACGTAGGACATGTGGTCGGCCAGATGATTAGATATACATGTTGTTTCAATAAGTCATGAGTAACTTTGTATATTGTAAATTTAGCTTATTGAATATTTTATAAAATTAAAAATGTACTTAATTTATTATCATTGTAATTTTCTGTCTAATATTAGATAAAGAAAGTGTTCCTCAAACAACCTCTAAGGGAGATTTATTGCAAGCCCGCAATCTGAAACGTTACATAAACCAGGTAAATTAAGGACAATTTAAAAAGTAAAATTGAAAATTGTTGCTTTTATAGATCTTTCAGAGACAAAAACAGATTATCGATGTAAAATGTAATTATTTGAACTATGAAGACGTAAACTTTTCTTTACATATGGTTTTTTTGTAAATAGACTGAAGTTGTATCTTTTTTCAGAAAATCATAGGAAAGAATAGTTTATTGTGTAGTGCATGTAAGCATATATATATAAAGAATCACATCTATAATAATAAACAAGTATGTCTGTCTGTGACTGCCATAGCTCCAAGAGGAAAGAACCTAGAGACCTGAAACTTTGCATGCATACTAAGGAGATTTTGATTGTGTGCACCTGGGTATTATTTTTTAGATTTGGTTCAAAAAATTTTGGCCAATTATTTGCCCTATAGCCTTTAAGCCTAATCCTAATTCTGTTTCCTGAAGGTCTGTAGAAAAGTATCATATTTTTTTCTAATTCTCACTTACCGAAGTAACAATATGTGTGGAGGTTTTCTGCCAAATACTCTTTCTCGACACATGTGGGAAGAAAAATACAAATCTGAGAATAAAAGAAAAGTTGAACTAAAGTTTGGGAAACGGCAACAAACAAAGGGAAGAAAAATATGAATCAGAGAATACTGGAGAATGAAAAGAATTCAAATAAAAACGAATCTGAGAAGCTAAATTAAAACTATTTGCCTTTAAAAAGAGTTGAATTAAGATCAGGAAATGACAACAGACAAATCAATTAAAGAATTCGTGCATTGGGGTAGCTAGAGAAGTAATTAAGATAATGGAGAAACTTGACTGGTACATTGAGGCTGCTGTGAATCATTATGGGACCTTAGAATCCTGTTGTGGAATGTGGGAATATTATGTAATAAAATTAATATCACCATTAATTACTATGTACTTTAAACTTTACCTTATTGGCTAAAAAGAATTATATTTAGCATGTTTATGCATCTTTGTTATATAGCAAGAATTGATGTTACTTTTTGAGAAGTTTTTAAAGTACGAAACACAGATAACAAAATAACACCATTAATGCCTTTATTATCATTTAGCTATTGTTTAGAAGTCCTGAAATATGAAGTCCTGAAATAGAGAAGTCCTGAAATATGAGATTGAAATAATGAATTTTATTGTTTGTTATTAACTAAGTTAATGTTTGAAGAAGTTAAAGTTACAAACTAAGATAAAAAAAGTAAATTTCTTTTAGAAGTTTCATTGGGCTGTACTTAGCTGTTTGAGATTTTTGTTGTTGTTATTATTATGATGAAGGCCTGCGTCAGTAGATAGAAATGTCACCTCCAAATAAATTCAAAGTTGATAAAGTATGATGAACCTTCAAAGGTCAATCGCTTTCTTTCATCTAAGACTTTGATAAGTAATATCAGTATTGTGAGTTTTTATGTACTTATTAGTTAAGGACCGCTAAGACCCTTTGTGAAAAGCGTGTGAAGAATTTGGGAGGACCAGATTACAGCTCTTCTGCAATATATGATAAAGGTTCTGACGACAAAGAATCGGAGAGCATGCCTGGAAGAACGGTGCTATCTTTTTCTGTCATCATGGAGTCGGCTCATTGTCGTCGATATTTTTCAAAATACTTGGAGAAGGAAGAAAACCAGTCATTGTTAAGGTGATAAATGCAGCAACATCAGGATGAACAATTTTAGTTTTAACCTTTTAACTGCGGCTGGGACGTATATTTTCCAGTGCTCCCACCCCCCTCACACTGCGACTAGCACAAATGTTTCCCATTGTCGATGCTGTTTATGCCTTTCTCTGCTGGGTCCAGGTTCATCATCTTGACTATCATCACTAGATGGAGAGCTAACATCCTCTTGTTTCATTGCCTCTTCATCATCACACATTTGAATACCACTTGACTCGCCAACTTACGATTGATGTAGTCTGGATCGCATATCATCTCCACCGTCGGATACACCACTAATTAGAGAAACACGGGTTAATTATAATCAACACACAGTCTGGGTCATATATCATCTCTACCGTCGGATACACCACTAATTAGAGAAACACGGGTTAATTATAATCAACACACAGTCTGGGTCATATATCATTTCTACCATCAGATACACCACTAATTAGAGAAACACGGGTTAATTATAATCAACACACAGTCTGGGTCATATATCATTTCTACCATCAGATACACCACTAATTAGAGAAACACGGGTTGATTATAATCAACATACAGTCTTGGTCATATATCATCTCGTCCCTTCAAGCTCGTTGCCAGATATACAGCTTTCTGCTACTCTGTCCATCCATTCATCTCTACCAGTC